AGGGACCAGTTAGAAGTAAAGCTCAAAATGCATTCTGAGCCCTACAACTTGCTAAGTGAGTTGCTGAGCACCAGGAATACATCAAGGAACAGAGTGCCCTCCTGGAGCCCACCCCAGATGTTAACCTAGTCAGCACCAGATGCTAAACAGGGAAGCCAATGGTTCAAGCTGCATGCTACAATAAGGGAAGGGACTCATACACACATGGAAAGAGCCACAGCAAGGGCTTCCGGAGAGGAGTAATGCCTGTTCCTTTTCTGCTGGAAGGATGCCAGCCCCGGCTACCATAGGACCACAGCAGAGGCCTGAGCCTCCGGGTCAGATAAGCAGGAGACCCACGGTCCATGCTGAGAATTCTGGCTCCCACAGCCAGGGCCCTGGGTGACTGGCAGCTTTTCCAAGGACCAGCCAGAGCTCTCAAGAGCACTCTGGCACCTAGCACACTGACAGGGTGGGGCTCCTGTTTTGTTTTGTTTTAAGGTTTTTGCTTAATAGGGATTGAACCTTAGAAACGCTGAGCTATATGCTGGGGATTTAGCTCAGTGGCACAAGTATCTGCCTGGCAAGCATGAGGTAGTGAGTTCAATCCCCAATTCCAAAAAAAAAAAAAAAGAAAAGAAATGCTGAGTTACAAACTGAGCATTTAAAAACAGGATTTCATCAGATTTTCTGATGAAAAACTATCATATGATTTTTCTTATATGAGAAGCCCAAAGTATAAATAATTTAAAGGCAAAATAACAGATAGCAGATAATAGGGAGATAGACCTTTTACAGATGGAAAGGGTTGGGCAAAGTAAGGAGAAAGGACTATCATAAGAATATATTATGGGGCTGGAGATTTAGCTCAGCAGGCATAAGTGCCTGCCTGGCAAGTGTGAGGTTGTGAGTTCGATCCCCAGTACCACAAAAAAATTTAAAATAAAATAAAAAAATTAATGGAGAAACAAGATTCTTAAAAAAAAAAAAGAATATATTATGTATCACACATGTATAGTATAAAGAAAAAGAAAAAAACGTCAAAATAAATAAAATACAAAGTTTCATTAATTTGCCTGGGCTGGCCTCATACTTGCAAATCCTCCTGTCTCGGCTTCTTGAATATTTAGAATTACAAGTGTAAAACACCTATAAAGACCATTAAGGGCATAGAATTTTTGAATCAATCAATACTGACTCTTAGCCCCAGCACTGCCACTCACCAGCCTAGAACTCAACTTCTGTGCCCACAGTGTCTTGTTAAGTCTAAATGTCCTCACCAGGACCTTTACTGCAGGGTAGTGTTCAGGGCTGAAAGTCAGGGTATGTGATATGCTGGGTGTCCTGCATGGCCCAGGACAGCTACTGTGGCAGTCAGCACTGTGATATCAACCACCTCCCTGAATGGCGGGGCACGCTTTAGCATAACTTTCATAAATCACAGAATTACAAGTCAGGCAAGTCAGCGCCCTTCAATACGCTTTCCCCTGTATTCACACATTGCCAGGGAAACCAAGGCACAGCTCAGCCTCTAGCCCGGCATAACCCCAGCACTTCAAAGTCAGGAATGTTCATTTCTGAGAACAGTGAGGCAACCACAGGAAGCACACTGCAGAGGAGAACAACTGGCTGAATGAGTCCCACAGGAATTACTCGGAAATATCTTCCATTCAGAAAGACTTTGTGAATTTTCCATTGCAAATATTTAATATCGAATTGGGTTCTCTCTTCCGCCTCTGTCAGTGGAGTGCTCAAAATAATTTTAATATTAGCCTGAGCCAAGTAAAATTAGGAAAATAAATCTGCAACATTTCCTTCCCCTTCTCCTGCCTCTCCCTGCCACAACACATCCCAAAGCCAAAATTCAATGATTTGAAATTTTCAGCAGCTCAAGAGCACCGCAGCAAAGCAATGGCCTTGAAAAAAGGATGACCTGGCTCACACGCTGGCCCCAGACTTTATAAATGGCATGATTTTAAGCTCATACAATGCTCTTTAACTCTCAGTTTCCTGTTCCACAAGTTGGGAGGAGACAAGCACTTACTTCACCGAGTTCCTAGGAGAACTCCATGAAATTACACACCGAGTGCATGCCGAAACTTGCCCAGGTAAAGGAAGGTTCAGTGCTGCTATTTCCACTCTCCATCAGAGTCCCACCTCTGGGTCACTCAGAGAGGACTTGGGTCCGTCTGGGCCAATCCCCAGAGCCGGCACCAGTACACCAAGCAAAACACATCCTAGCCTGAAGCAGGATATGAAGGCTTGGCATCCTCTTGGGAGAGTCAAGATAGAAGGATAGATCTGTGTGAAAATTAAACATAGTCAGACCACACAGATACCGACAGAACTGTCTACCTTGATTCTCATGGAGTCCAATGCCTCTGTCAGAGTGAGCAGCACCTTTGGGTCCTGGGCATCTACAGTGTATTCAAGGACCTCACCGAATTCTTCTTTGCTTCCTTCACCCTTTTTTCTTTACACAACAGACACTGCCAACTCCTGGGATCCATGGAGCTTCATCTTGGAAAAAGACTAACTATGATGTCACAAATTCATCAAAATTCAATGAAGGAAATAAAGTATGTGATGAGATAGAGTGACTCAGATGGGGTGGTCAGGGGAGGCTGCCCCAGGGCGGTGAGAGTCAACCCACGGCTGCCTCATCTCATGCAGCAGACCCTCTTGCTCATTCTCTACTTGCAGCACAAAACTCAGACATCCTGAAGAAGTATTTGAACCACACAAAGGAAAATGAAATTCGTTACCCATGTAAAAGCACAGGACTGACAGTATCGGGGAGCCAATGACCTCCTACAAAGGTCCCTAACGTATTACAAGAAACACAGGGCTCTGGTTTTTGGCACCCAAAACCACTAAGTGACAAAACGCAATCATAAAGGCAATAAATGTTTTGTGAGGATGCCCTCTGCACCAGGCAGAGGCAACACGCTTCCTGCACCATCCCCATGGCAGTGGGCATGTGGAGATGATTCTTCTTAGTATCCACACTTTACTCATGGGGAATCCCAAGCTCAAGGAATTTAAGCAGCCTACCATAACACAGCTCATACCAGGTAGGCTGAGGCTCTAATACTAGGCACTATATGTGCATGTTCTGCACGTTTAAATAGATGTGACGCTGCCTTTCCAGAACTTTGGACTAGTAAGACAAATGTGCAAATTTATCATAAAATATCACTGCCACTGTACAAGAGAGGTTTGAGGGGTGATGACAGCAGAGAAGGGGGGCACAGAAGACCATCTAAGGTAAACAGCCAGTAGATCAAAGAGGATTAGCCAAGTGCAGAGAGGGTCATCAGTGTGCCAAGGATCATGAGCACCAGACACAATGACCCTGGAGAACCCGACAGAAAGCAGGAGGTAAGATGACAGAGGCAGGCTTACAGATGAGGCTCAGGAGGTCACTGGGGGAGAAAGCACGAGAGGGACAGAAGCCAGGCTGCAAAACCATGAGCAGTCATCCCAACTCCACGGCAGGCAGAGGTGCAGCTTAGGAACGGAGTCTAGAGATTCATCAGTGGCTTGGGGGAAGAGGGCAGGTGATGTAGAAACAGTGATCACAGTTCAGGTAAAGGGTAAGAAAAGATAGAAGGAAAAATAAAACCACAGGGAGGAATTCAAGAGAGACAGCAGAAGGAGGCAGGAAGGACCCCACTAATGCCGAGGGGTCAAGGGAGAGAGCGGAGGCTCAGCTGGAGAAGAGGGCCCTGGGAGGGCTTGTTTGGGGGCTGCGACAGAGTCAGTGTGAGCACACAACAGGCAGCACTGCAGGTCTGACAGGTCTTGGGGCCTGGGCAGGGCACCTTGATGTGCCCCAGAAACCGGTGCTATCCTGCCCATTTCATGTTCAGTGAGGTGGAATCATTTGGCCACTCATACGCTTGTGCATGGAGGACTGAGGCCCAAATCTAGGCCTCTCCTGCAGCTATTCTTGGGGTTTCAATCCTTCCCTCATTGATACCCATGGCCTTATGTGCTGCCATCTAAAAAGGGAAGGCTTTCAGATGACCCTTCAATGACTGCTAATTAACAACCCTTGGATAAAGCAAAACCACAAACAATTCTGGCTCAACCTACAAACTGTTTTGAAATGTGAACTGGCCAACAATTAGAAGTTTGCTTTTACCTTTTGTGTTTTGGGTGTTTTGTTTGGGGCTGAGAATAGAACTGTGTTAGACCGGTGTCGCGAGGAAGACTCCAAGGGCCTCGCTCTCATGTAAAAACAATGGGGTTTTTATTATTTCGTGTACACGGGGTCCTCCAAACAGGTGGAAACGGAGAACCCTGAGTTGGGGCAAGGCTGGTGTTTTTAAGGATGAAAACCGCAAAGCAAGCAAGCATTGTTACAGAAGCCAATCATAGCAGTTAGAGCAGAACAGTTGGTGATTTGTCCATTTGTGATTGGTCAGATCATGAGGGGCGACCAGTGGGTCAGAGTTGATTAACTGTCTTGTTTTGCACAGCTTATTTTTAGGTCACCTAGCTCCTGTGTGGCTTGGTTCTGACATACTTCCCAATCTTGATTAGCATAGTCAGCAGACTTTATCTCTGAGTTTCCTGACATAATTACCTTACTTTAGCACCACAACCTTTCTATTTGTAGAGGGCAACAATGGTTAACATATCAATTGGGTAAGATTTTACAATTCTTTACAGAAGAGAGCATTGATTAACATATCAATCTTTTACCCAGGGAAAAAGGAAGACACACATTTACAGTTACAGGTATTACTATGATATAAACGAAGCTATTTCTGTGAAGAATGTACAATCTAATACAATCTGATGCAATTAACACAATTTGTGACGGGGCTACCAGATAGGGAAGACCCAGGATGTCAGGAGCTAGTACCTCAGGCCTTTGTTTTATGGCCTTTAGGAAGTTAAAACTTAACCTAGTTGGATTTGAAGGGAGAAGGGGAGGGGAAGCAGCAGATGGAACGAGCTTTCTTCGTCTCTTCAACTGAAAACCAGAAGGGTTTACACACAAATCCAGATACCTGGCTTCTCTCTACACAGCAGATCACTGCCGGGTGTAGTGGTAGGCCCCTGGAATCCCAGCTCCTTGGGTAGTTAAGTCAGGAAGCCCGTCTGAGTCCAGGACTTCAGGGCCAACAACATACAGAGGTCCTGTCTCAGAAAACAAAAACAGAAGTAGATTATCTGGCAATATTGAGCCTGTGTCATGTGGCAGAAACTGCCTTGAGTTGAAAAGCAGTGGCCCTCTTAGGTGAATGCACGCTTTGTAGTTCACCATAGTCCCGTCGCCAAAACACCAAACAACCAAAATAGAAACTACGATGTGTAACCACCCAGGAAGTCTCTTCTTCAAAGCCAGACCTTATTTTTGCTTTGGGGGCAACAAGAATTAGTGGACACCAGGCTTAACTAGAGTCTAGCTTTCAGCTAACAGGGAGCCCTCCCTTCTGGGCCTTGAAGCACTTGGTCTCCGGTCTCTAAGTACTGCTATTTCACTCTTATGGGAAGGGCTAATAGCTACTCACCGTTGGATTCCACTTTGGGACCACCCAGGGACAGTGTCTTCCTCTACAGCCCCACGCCTGAATAACCCACCCGCTGCCACCCAGATTCTAAATTGTAATTCCAAAAGCTTGCCTGCAGGACATCCCAGGGACTTGAGGACACACAAATGGATCGCCTACCACCATTTGCAAACAAACACAATCCAAGTGGGACAGAGCTCATCTGAGACTGGCACAGGTCCTCAGTGAAATGGGATATTCTTTCAGAGCAGAGTCCTAACAAAAAGCTGAGAAGAAAACTGATTTCCCTCCCTCGCTGAGGTTTGGCTCAAAACAGAAAAATGAAACACACCCTGTGTCTCTCTCCAAAAAATCCCAATATGGAGAATTGAGTGCCAACATGTAAAAAGGGAGCGTAGAAGATGGTTGCTAGAATGAACAGGGGGTCTCTTTGCAGCCTGCTGAAGGTTACGGATGCCGAGAGGAAATGCCAGTCACTCCAAACACTAATGCTCAGCACCCCAGCTCTCCCCCATCTCATCTTGCTGGGGACTCTGAGGTCCACTGTGGATGAGTTAGCAGCAGGCCAGCTCCTGCGAGCTGGAAAGCAAATCTTGCTTCCTAGACTTCATGGCAGCTTCCTCCCAGGCACACACTTCCTATGCTTCCGTTTGTACCAAGTTCTGCAGAGAGCCTGAGTACAGAAAGCTAGGCACAGCGCACCCTGGGGTACAGCGATAAACGACCACAGACAGGCTCCTGCCCATTGTGGTTTATAGGCAAGTTGGCGAGATAAACATCAATAAATAGTCACACATATACCTGTGTACATATTCAAAATGGAACCAGGCCCTCAAAAGGAAAGCGAGTCCTGTGTGCGTGTGTAACAGGGTGGTAAGGAAGGCAGCTAGGTGGTAGAGAGTAGCTAGCTGAAGACGGTTGAACAGAAAAAGCATGCCAAGACCCTAAAGAAGTGAGGAGCAGCAGGCACGGACTGAGCAGGATGGCCAGCCAGGTGGCTGGTGAGGCATGTGGCGAGCTACTGCTTCCACAGCCATCCTGCAGATCCATGCACGCTTCAGAGACCCACCTTCCCTACTGCTCCCCAGTCAGGAAGGGCTTAGGAAGAACAGGATGAACAAGTGTATGAGGAAAACACATCTCACAGAGGACACACATGCAGAAGAATTAAATGTGCAAAGACCAGTGGTAAACTGGAGCGGCCAGGTACAGGTAACTGCAGCAACAAAGAGCCTGGGGTTGACCATATGCTAATCCTGATCCTCTTCTCTCGTCGGGTTCTCAAACTCAGAACTGGTTGCCCGCATCCCTGTGGCCCTCACAGTCCCAGGAGACACGCTTCCTGGCCTCTGACAGCTGAGCCCAGGCAAAAGCAGCCACATCCTTCAAAGCACTGGGCATGACGGAGACAGGAGGCCGCTCCCTGGACCTGCTGAACCATTTCCTCTTATTCCTGGTTTAGCTCCAATGTGAGATTTGGGGGACCCAAAGGTAGCAGGGGGACGAGGAAAGAGACAGAGGGAGGTGGGATCCCCCAGGGTCCAGCCCACTACCAACTTATACTGGACCCATGGGACCACTAAGTTAGTTCTGGGTATGATGGTGTCAGTGACGAAGGGTTTGAACCCCGGATAAGGTAAGAAAACATGGGCTGGGATAGAGTACTTGCATAGCATGAAGGGAACCCAGGATTCAATCCCCAACGTGGGAAATAAAAATGGCCAGGTGTGGTGGCACAGGCCTGTAATTCCAGCACTCTGGGAGACCAAAGCGGGAGGATCCCAAGTTTGAGCTCAGCCTGGACACCTCAGTGATTTAGGGAGACCCTGTCTCAAAATAAAAAATTAAACATAAAAAAGGACTAGTGATACAGCTCAATGAGAAGGCCCTGGGTTCAATCTCGTGCACTTAAAAAAAGAAGAAGAAATGTCTCCATCGATTCCATTAGAAGGCCAAGTCCATGCATCAGAAATGACCCAAGTAGCCAGGCATAGTGGCACACACCTGTAATACTAGTACTCAGGAGGCTGAAGCAGTAGGATCACTGTGAATTTAAGATCAGCCTGAGCTACATTGTGAGGCTAAGGTCAGCCTGAAAAACACAGCAAGGCCCTGTCTCAAAAATAAGAAGAAGGAGGAGGAGGAGGAAGAGGAAAAGGAAGAGGGGAAGAGGAAGAGGAGGGGGGGGGGAGGAGGAAGAAGAAGAAGAAGAAGAAGAAGAAGAAGAAGAAGAAGAAGAAGAAGAAGAAAAAGAAGAAGAAAAAGAAGAGGAAGAAGAAGAAGAAATTACTCACATGTAACTTTAGCCACACACATAAATCAAGATTTTTAATCATCCTTTGCAAAACTTCTAAATTCTGGCCAACACCACTTTGAACTTGTATGAGTTTCAGGTTGTGGCAGAGAGGCCATTCCAACCTGGGGATCACCCTGGGCGGTTTCAAACAGCAGCCCAGCACCTTCTCAAGCGTGGAACATTCCTTACTCCTAGTTCAGCCCCATGGAGACAGCCACGCCGCAGTCAGCCCTGCCCACGGCAGCCACCTCTGGTTCTTCCTCCCCTCTGCTCCACTCGCAGCTCTGCAACGCAGATTGGCTAAGTTCCCGGCTCCTTGGCCGGCTGGACACTTTGCTTCCTCGGTCACCGCCATCAGCCCTGCCTCCCCGGCCACACTTAGGTCTCAGCTTCAGTGTCACTGTCTGCAAGTCCGGCCACAACTGCCCCATCAAGAGCAACATGTCTCCACTCTGGTCTCAGCTCATGTTCTGCTTTTGATGTTGTTGTTTTTGTGGTACTGGATACTGAAACTTGGGTCCTTGCACTGAGCTATATCCCCAGCCCTCTTGCACTTTGAGATAGGACCTGGCTAAATTACCCAGGAAAGCTCAACTTGGGAACCTCCTGCCTCAGCCTCCCACAGTATGCCACCACAGTCAGCTTATTTTTTAATCTTTTAGAGCAGATGCATGTCCAACCAGAACTGTCTTCTGTCCTTCTGTCACAGTGGTTTTCACTTTTCTGTAATTTATTTACTCACTCTCAGGTCCTCCCACACTGTAAGCACCAAAAAGGAAAAAGATGAGTTGATTCTAAAGTTTCCTTGTCAGCTGCAGGGGTCCTGGCACACGAGTAACCTTTGACAGCTACTAGCTGCTGACAGCCACCTGGGTAATGTGCAGAGCACCAGTCCTGGCCCCTCAAAAGTGACAAAAAAAGGCAAAACAGCTGGGGAATCATTCCTGATTAAAGCACACTAAAGAGACACAACAACAAACGCAGTATTATCCTTGATTGGCCTGCATCTACTGTAGACGTGACGAGAACATAAGGGAAAGTCATCTGTGGACAGCATGTTAGAGAAAAGGGCTGGATCAAATCGCCTTTCCTGACTCTGTATTCCCGCTGCTGCGAGGTAACAGAATGGGAAGAGCACACAGCCAGCGCTTCAGGAGAGACCTGACACGAAGTCTGCAACTTACTCCACAGGGCTCAGGCGGGGCTATACGTACCCTCTTACAGCATGGTTCTATGCTTATAATCTTCCTTTAGATTTCCAATTTTTCAAAGTAAAAAGCTATAGAAATACAATGAAAGTAATAGATGAATAAAAAAATAAATACCAGAGTATGCTGTCATTTTTTATTTAAGTAAGGGAGTTTTGTTTGGGGTACTGGGACTTGAACTCAGGGCCTTGTACTTGCCAGAGTGGTGCATATGCCATTGAGCTATGTTCCCAAACCTTGTTTTGTTTTTGAAACAGGACCCTGCTATGTATTTCAGGCTGGTGATCTCAAATTCACAGAGATCTTCCTGCCTCAATCTCCCTAGTGCTGGGATTATAGTGCGCACCAACAGATCCAACCTGAGATTTCTTCAAGTTCACATGAATAATCGCTGGCTGAGCTGAGATTGAAACATGTCCACTGTATGAAAGTACTCACTTGGACTCCTGATGCCTCAAACAGGTAACTTTTGGGGCCCTGACACTTACTACTAGTTGGATATTCACCAGCTCAAAAATAATCAAAACATGTTGGGTAATTTTAATCTGGGACTGTGTTTCCAGGCATCTTACAAAATAAAAGCCTTCTGGTTCGCAGGCATCTATCCCTGGCCAGTCTCACTCCAGCCCTTCAGTTCCCACACAGTGTGAGTGCCGCTCCCAGCAGTGAGGAGCTGGAGAAGACCGGGAAAGCCTAAGTACCAAGAAGCCAGGTTATGTACATGCACCACCCCTCCACAGTGAATGTCACCATTATGTACCGCAAAACAAACAACCAAAAGGGAATTTCAGGGATGAAGAAACACGACCAGCACTGTTTTACTTTTCTATTTTTGCTTAAATTCTTAAGTTTAAACTTTCCTTCTTTTAAATCCAACCAAGGGCCTTTGATGCCTATATAACTGTGCATAGTCGAACTCCTACTCTCCTCTAGAAAGGCTCCCACGACTCCTCCAGGATAGTCAATTTAGGTGCCTCTTACCTGGGTTTCCACAACCCTGCAGTTTTTCTGCTAAAAATTAAACCTCGTTACACTGATTTTTACTGCCTCTTGCCTGTGCACCTTCATCGTAGGTCATGGCCTCTATAAGGAAAGGATGAGACCCTCCACGAAGTCAGCATA